GCCTTGTCTCCAAATAACTCAAAAGTAATTAACTTCCATAAGATTTTTTTTTTTAAGAGCAACGGACCTGATCCTGTTTTATCTTCTTAATATATGGTTTTTGCCATCTAAGAAACATAGGTAGTAGAGGGTTTGCAACTGACCAGGTACAACTCCCCTCTAAGGTTCCTAACCAAAAGCAGTAGTCTTTTGTGTTTCAGAGAAACTGGATTTCTAACCTTAACCTATAAAGGAAGAAATCACTAAACTAGTAGAACTCTGTACAAAAAGGTCATGAACCCTGGAGCCAGAAAGACTAAGTTCAAATCCAGCTTTCTGGCTAACTAGCTGTCATACTTTGGACAAGTTATGTAACTTCCATGCCTTCGTTTCCTCATTTGTAAAATGGAGATAGGAAAAGTACTTACTTCACAGAGTTGTGAGGATTAAAGAGTTAATATATGTAAACCACTTAGAATAGTTCCTGGCACATAGTAAGGGCTATGTAAAGTTTGCTTTTATTTTTACTGTTTTACCATTATAGATTTCTACAGTTCAGTTGCGAAAAACAATCCCAAATGAAAATTATTTAATTGTACCTATAAAGGACATGATTTTATATTAATTAAGCTGTGATGCAGATTAATGCAAGAACCTTAAACAAATAATGAGAAATCAGAGTGTATTGAAAACAACAGAAAATCATAAAATCTAGTTTAAAAAATCATATACCATTGTCACTAGTAAGAAGTGACATATTCTTAGGATTAAAGCTTATTTTAATCCTAATTACGTTGAGTCTTTTTTTTTTTTTTTGCTACACCCTGGTGATGCAGGTCATGTTAAGTCTTTTAGTTCAACTCAGGTATGTACAAATAAAATCATATTTAGAATTTAAGTGTAAATGTCAGCCTTTATAATGTCACCTAGTTCACATAAACAGCCTATATATGTATTATTATAATTGTACATAGTGGGTATCCAAAAGAAATTTGCTGAAAGAAATGTATTACAAAGATTGCTGCTAACTATTTTCTAGGGTGAATAAAAACAAATCTAACTAGAACAAATATCAACCAAGCTAATAAGTTAAAGTGCTTCCAACACAATCTGTAGTAAGATCTTTAAGATATTAAGCACTGACTGCCTTGGGCTGATTTGTTAAATTACTTACAATAATTCAGCACTATTTATACATTTCCTTTTCTGATTTAAAACACTACTACATATTTAAAAGGGGAAAACAGTAAAGATTAATTTTATGAAGCCCATATTTCAATTATCTGTTTTTTAATATACTATAAATAGAGAAAATGCCCTAATTATTTCTACATTTAATAATTAGATACCCTAGGACTTAGGTTGATGGGACCAAATAAAAAATATCAAGATGATAACGTGGCTGATGTTTCATTGTTTGCTATGTTCTCTGCCAATAAAACATATCAATAAGGCAGTTTATAGCTTAAGCCATATATTCTGTACAAGAACATGCACCTGTATTTTTTAAATTAATCAGCAGATAGAAGGTCCACCTATTTTCCACTTTACAATTTAACCCCTTGATATAAACCAATTAAATGAATGTATGCAAAGAATAAACTATTCCTAACATTCTTAAATACACATTTCTATTTTGAACTATTCTTCCTCCATTTAAATCACAGCTAAGTTACAATAAAAACATCTTGTTATATGCAAAACACAAAAATACAAACAACTACCAAAAGAGAAGTTCTATGTGCCTTTTATCTGTAAGCAAAACAAAAAAAATGAAGTCATGAAGTGGGCTTAGGCAGATCACAGAAACCACCACACCACGAGGTACAAATGGTAAGGACACGAAAGAGGTGTATTTTATTTCTTAAATTTTTAAAACTAGCATTTTCCTTAAAACATATCTTAAGGTTCAAGGATAAAAATTAAAACGAGTAAAACAAAGTACAGAAGCAACTAAAATGACCAAAAATAACAATCAAAAATAATCAAAACAAGTCAACACAAAAAACGCGTTAGGCATAAAACTAAGGGGCAGAAATGTATTTTAAAGATTTTATTTATTCATTTTTTTCCCCCCAAAGCCCCAGTAGATAGTTGTATGTCATAGGTTCACATCCTTCTAGTTGCTGTACGTGGGACTCGGCCTCGCGTTGGACGGAGAAGTGGTGCCTCGGGGCGCGCCCGGGATCCGAACCCGGGCCGCCAGCATCAAAGCGCGCGCACTCAACCGCTAAGCCACGGAGCCGGCCCCAGAAATGTATTTTAAATTGAGCCCTCAGAATTACAAACTAAGACTTCACCAAACTAAAGTAGAAATTCCTACAGAAAATTTAGAACGATTCCTCTCCTGAGCTTTAAAAACACATACACTAAGTCTGTCTGTCTCTAGTGATATTTGTTTGTTTGGCAGCTGGTAAGAGGTGCAGACTTTTCAATAATTAGAAAGTCTATCAGCATTCTGTATAAAGACCAGGAGCATGAACACAACTGATCCAATGAGACCATGGGGTGTTCATTTCATATAAAGGTTTTTATACAGAATCTATATCATAATAGGCCAAAGTAATTTTAGAAGAAAAGAGAGAGAAAGAGATTCTTTAAGACTTTGCAACTTCTACTTCACCACCACACAGTTTCTTTCTAGAGTTCCCTCTTTGAAGGAAAAATGACTTCAGATTTGAATTTAAAAATTTGCATCACAGGTTTCTTATCCTAAAATGTTCATTCCTATGATATAAATTTATTGAAATGAACCACTAAATACTATTTGTGCTCTCCAGCACACAGCTTTGATGGAACTAAAACCCACCTGAGTGCAAGTACAGGACTTCTTCACTTGTAAAAAGTGACCTTGGAAAAATCATCACCAAATCTTTAAGCCCTGATTTCATTATCTGTAAAATGAAGGGGTAAGTATGAACTCGATGGTTCTCTCCAGCTGTAAACTGTAGAAATCTACATAGGTTTAGACTTAGACATGCTCAAGAAATAACAAGTTCAGAAATGCAAAAAGTTGAAAGAGGGCCTTGCATCAATCCAAATATAGGTCTATCTATGAAGTTCCCATGGCTAAAAAAAAAAAAAAGTCCACAAACTTGGAGGTAAGGAAACAGAGAGAGTCAGCCCATACTCATTGCGGTTAGCTTTTAAGGATAAGAAATGATGAGGCCAGGCTGAACAGAAGCTCGAGTGTCCAGTGTAGGTGCTGGGGAGGAGGTATGGTAAGAAGCTTTCAAAAGGGCTTCCCTCAGCAGTCAGATAAGTCCTGAAAGCCAACCAGAAGGGTCCTTCTCTGTGGCTTCTAGGACTAATATGGCCAAGCTCAGAAGTCCTTTGCTAAAAATAGCTGAAGGGAGCAGCTCAGTTTTGGAATAAGCCAAGGTCTATGCTATGCTCACATATGTATATTTATCATATAATGAGGGAGACTTTTCTATAACTCATTAGTCAAAAGAGAAGCAGATGCTAAAAGCTGTATTTATTCTGTTCAATGAAGTACTAAATTTTAGAGCACAATTTATATGAGCACAGGAACTGATCACACAAAAACATTTGCAGTCAAATGCTAGACATACACCATAAACATTGGAAAAACAAAGATAAAAATTATCCAACCCTGTGTCTCAAAATATACCTCAGATCACAAAATTTGGGAAAGGGGACACTAACCATTATTAAATCCAATCCCTTCATTTTAGAGATGACTAAAAGCCTCCACAGAAACTTAAGAAATTCAAGAGAAACTTAAGTCTCAAAACGAGAAAAAGGTGGTCTGAAGACTAGGGTGAAAACAGTAAAAAAATAAATAAATAAAAGAATATTCTAAATAATAAAGTACTGTAATGTCTGGCTTAGGAGGAAACAGGAATAAAAACAGAAAAACTTGTCAATACAGTAAAAATGAAGACAACGTACAAGAGGCAAGAATAAAGATCCATGTGCACGCTAAGTTCAACTAAAGAAAATGTACTTTGAAATTACTATAGTGAACTGTTTAGCAGAAAACGTTTCAGTTACAACGTACTAAAATTTTCGGCAATAAGCTTATAAATCTGGGGCTAATCTCCCAAGGAACTCTGTCCTCTGCCATAGCAACTGTCCTATAAGTAAAGCCCATGCAGAAAACAGAGCTGATCGTCCCAGAACATCGCATTTTTGCCCCAGCTGTGTACCTCCATTCTCATCGGATAGAGAACGCCAAAATGACAGCACGTCCTCATGACCTGTCAATTAACAAGATCACACAAGCCCAACCGCCAGCAGTTCCGTGTGCCTGGCACCTGTTAGCCCGCTCTAGAGAGAGCCCCCCAAACTGTGCTCCAGCAAAGAACCGGGAACTGGGAACGCCTTTGTTGTTCCCGAACTACGGAAGCTACCAGAGTTCAGTCCAACTCAGCGCCTCCAGGCAAAACTTCCCCCAGACCGGGTAAATCGACCCAGATCCGGGCTTAGGTAAAGCCCTCCTCTAGCTAAGAAAAGGCGGGAGAACCCCAGCAAAGCATGAAAGACACCTACCAGTCGCGGGAGAAGGTAGGGGTCTAAGGTGAGGAAAGTTGCGGGTCGAGGACGTAGGACCCTACAGAGAGACAGGTTCAGTTTCGCAGTGCAGGAGGGTGAGCCCAGAGAGGAGGAGCGCCGTCCCGCCCGGTGGAAGAACAGCGAGATCCCGGGATCGGGGGTCGGGGAAGAGAAGTACTAAGGAGAGAGGAGGCGGAAACGGAGCGGCAGTGGCTGAGGGAAGCGCTGAGGAGAAAGGCAAGAAATCTAGGCGTGTAAGGGGCGGATGAGGCTGCGGAAAAGCAGCGAGGCGAGAGGTGCGCGGAAACGAGAAAGGCTAAGCTCAGGTGAAAGAGGCGAGGCCAGCGTGAGGGAAAGGGCTGAAGTGAGGGAAGCACTGTAGGGACAAGGGACAGGCAATGAGAACCCTCACCCACAGGGACCAGGAGAGAACTCTTGACCGGTCTCTCTACAGGCTGCTCTCGACCGGCCGCACTCAGACCCTGACGGCGGCGGAGACTCACCCAAAGGCGCCAGAGGCCCCACAGCAGGACATAGGGACCGGTCCAGACCCACAGCAAAACCAAGCGGGTGGAGGAAACCGCGGCGTTAGCGTGACCCGGATGCACATCCCTAGGAACCGGAAGTCAGCGGCCAGGGTCACCTCACAGTCCACACCTCGTTCCGCCAGAAGCTTCTGAGCGCATGCGTCAAGCGGAGCGGGCGGAGCGGGGCAGCGCCTAGACCCCGCCCACTCTGTCGGCCCGGGAGCCCCGCCCCTGGTTACGCCCCACTCGGCGCCACCGTGGTGCTTGTGCGGGTAGGCTGGTTTTCCCTGCGTCCGGACCGTGGTGCCACAGAGGCACAGGCGGCTCCGGTAAAAAATACTTAAGCGCTCATCTTTCAAGAAGGCCTTTTAAAATGCGTGTAATCCCTTCCTAAAGCGAACGTGAGGGGAAATGCTGGCTGCATTTGGTAGATTTAGAAAAATTGTGGGAGGAAGAATGGGTGGGAAATTTTGGAAGACACTTGGGATAGGCTAGCCCAAGGTGATGTTTTTATCCCCAATATTAGTTTAGTCCTAATACTGTATTGAGCTTACAATTAACTTCTATTTTGTGCACATTGTTTTATGTAATAATTTTATCAGAAACAAAAATTTTTAATACTTCGTTAACTTTAAATTACTACCCAACTATGGGAAAGGAGCAGGACTGAAGTCAGGTTTTGTGGGGGCCTGAAGTTTATTCAATTTGGGGGTCCTCTTTAAGAAAATTCAAAATTACAAATAAAATATTAATTATAAAAATGAATCTTTAGAATGAGAAAAGAAATCATAAATTACAAATTTTTAAAATTTCACCAACAACACAAAATCCAGAAAAATTACACACTCAACTGCTTGATACACCTCTAAAATACTTTTTTTCTACATTTTTTGGCTATATATTCTTTGATCACCTCTTCCTGTGATAACATTTACTAAGATCTTTATTAAGATCTTTGACTCCTCTCTCTCACACCCCACGTCTAATTCAACGGCAAGTTCTGCAGGATCTGCCTTCAAAAATTTATCCAGAATCTGACCATTTGCTGCTTCTGTTGTTACAAGCCACAGTCATTGTGATTGTTTGCCCTTTTTATACACTTGCCCTCCCACAATCTATTAATACAACAGCAGCAGACTCCTGTTAAAACCTTAATCAGATTGTGTCGTTTCTCCAGTGGATTCCTATTTCAAAGTGAAAATGAAAATCCTGGGGCCGCCTCTGTGGCATAGCAGTTAAGTGCGGGCACTCCGCTGCTGGCGGTCCCGGTTTGGACCCTGGGGGCACACCAATGGACTGCTTGTCAGGCCATGCTGTGACGGCGTCCCATATAAAGTGGAGGAAGATGGGCACAGATGTTAGCCAAGGGCCAGTCTTCCTCAGCAAAAAAAAGAGGAGGATTGGCATGGATGTTAGCTCAGGGCTGATCTTCCTCACAAAAAGAAAAGAAAAGAAAAGAAAATGCTTACTTTGGCCTACAGGACCCTCAAGATGTGACACTCAGCAGTACAGCTAACCTCATCTTCTGCTCTCTCCATTATCCCTCCGCTCAAGGCACATTGGCCCCTTTTTTGTTCCTCAAGCCTGCACATAGACTCAAGCCCTTTGTGCTTGCTGATCCCTCGGCGTGGAATGCTCTTCCCTCAGATGACTGCATCATTCACCCTGTCACGTCCTTACATCTTTGTTCAAATGTCACCCTCTCAATGAGCCCTTCCCTGACACTATATTTTAAATTGAAATACTACCATCCTCTCTGCATTCCTAGCCCAATTCCCTCCTTAATTTTTCTCTAATAACATTTATCCCATCCAAT